CCGGCCCCCCCGGGCCCCGCGCGCTCGGGTGGGCGGCGGGCCCGCGCCCCGCGAGTCCATCCAGCGGCCGCTGACGTTGTGAGTTCAGAGTAAAGGGCGAAACGCGCAGCCCGAGCTCGTGCGCTCCCCCCGCCCTCCTTTGTTTCTGCCTCACTGAGGGTGAAGCAGACAGACCCAAAACCCGGCCCGAGACCCAGACCCAGACCGCCGGCCGAGCGCGAGGTGGGCCGCCCGGGAAAGGCCGACCGGCCGGACCTGCCGGACCTGCCGGGGGAGACAGCGGAGGCAGATGGAGCGGGTAATAGACAGAGGTTTATGAAGCCCGGGGATAACCTAGATTGAGATGGTCTCCCTCCCAGCCCTAAACAACAACAACCAGCGCGCGAGCTGCGAGGGCGCGTCACCAGGAGCTGTCGTCTGGCATTCACACTCCCCAGGGGTGGCAGAGACAGTAGCCCGGGCAGGGCAGGTGATGGGGAAAAGTTTGATGCTCCGGAGGGTGTCCGTGTGTAGGGGGGCGCGGTGGGAGAGCGTTCATATTAATACACACTCCTGCCAGTTTACAAAGCCTCGGGCCTTCCTCGAGCCTCGTATTCGGGAGAAGAACCCTAAGAGTGAAGTGGATGCTATGATCTCCATTGCAGAGAGAGGAAAGTTCGCTGGGGCTCAGAAGGGCTGGGGGGCTTGCAGACACACTCTTAGTGCTGGCAGGAATAGGGCGCCGTCTCCGAAGCGGGGTCCGTTATATCAAGTGGCATTAGTTAATATCAGCTCTAGGTGAGGCTTAAACTTCCTGCGACCTGGGTCTCTTCCTGCCTCACCAGCGTGGAAAAATCCCATCCTGTCTGCCTCGTCCGCTGGAGGGAAGGGCTCAGTGTCGTGCCATGACTGAGGATCCCTCCTTCACCAGATCTGCCCAGAGCCACAGACCAACATCTTACTTAGTAACTTCATTTTTCCCTCTCGGTACATATGTAGTGGGAAGACGGGAGTCAGGAAACCCAGGTTTGGGTGCTGGTTTCATTCCTGTCTGAAGTCACTGAAATTCTTTAGGCCTCTGTGCCTCCATATAGTAAACGGTGAGGGATGGACGGCCAGTTCCATCACCAAGGAAACTTAGGGCAATATAGATGACCTGTGACAGTCCTTCGAAAGCATACATATTGTACCCCAGGGCCAATTATTATAAGCTGACAAACGCTGCCTGGCATCTGGTAGGCACACGATGAAAATCCCTGGTACAGAGGAACAGGAGAAAGGAAGGACCTTCTTCCTAGAGATGTCTCAAGATAAAAGAAAGTGTCGGCCAAATTTGTGCTTTGAGGAGGGGAGTGGTCTTGGCTTTTTCTGGCATCTGTGAAATGAAGGAGGGGGCTTCTTTCTTTTCCCAGCCCCCCCTTACCCCTTAACCCAGTAATATTCCTCTTAACCTATTTTCATTCACCATACTAATTAATTCCTCTATATAAGACTGATACAGAAATTTATCCTTTCAAAATGCTCTTATATATCATTTCCTGAAATCTGTAGTGCCACCTTGTGAGGTATATAGAACAAATATTATTCCCACTTGGAAAATGAGGAAACGGGGCATGCAAATCAACTGACTTGCCCATGTTTACACAGTAAGTTACACTAAGTGGGTTAGAATCCAGGTTTTCTGACTCGTCTGCTGTGTAGGCTTCGTACACACACACACACACACATGCACACGCACACCCCTCTTCCCTTCCCACCGTCCTCTCCCCTTCCCACCATCTCTATTTCCCACCTTCTCTGTTTAGAAAGTGATTTTAAAAGAATGAGAAAATCCAAGGCGTCTTCGTAAGTGAGGAAGCAAAATGCCCCAATGAGCTGGTAAGAAAAGTCGCCAGCACGATCTCTGGAGGGCTTGCTGGCCAGGGAGATAGGAATGGTTTGGACTGATAGTGTAAATAGATTCTGGTTAATGGAAAAAAGGAATTCATGACCTGCCCCTCCCACCTTCCTCCTTTTAGTCAACAAATATTTGAGTGCCTCCTATCTGTGGGGTCCTGGGGTCCCGGGGCGCTGGCTGCATCAGGCAGGAGTGGGAGCTTCGTGGAACATCAGGCAGAGAGAGGGACTGCTGAAATATCAAAACGCTCTGAAGTCATTTTCAGATTCCAGAACAGATGCATGTGGGCTGGAGAACCTTCCTTGCCTATCTGCTCCTTAAGATGTTACATAAATCTGTTTTCTCTCTCATTAACCTGCATTGCTACACTGCCTCAGCCAGCCTGTCCCTACCTTCCCTCAGTGTCTCTTTGTCCTGTTACTCACGCCTCTTTCCATCAGCCACACTCTTCCCCTGGCCTGTCCTGCAAGCTGACTTCTCTCTCACCAGGTAAACCTCATGACACTTGACTTGGGATCTAGGAATTGGGACAGTTTCCAAAGGTCAAGTCTTGGGTGGGAAATCTAAGAACTTATGGGTTCCTTACACATTTTCACAGCACTGGCTCCTCAGTGAGCATGACGTGACCACACACACACACAACCACAAAAATAAGCCAGTTTCTCTTTGGTGGAGATAAGATCCTAGGAGGACTGGGGATGGGGTTACCTCCCTAGCTGCATCACCTTGGATAAGACACAACTGCCACTAGCTATCCTTCAATTGACTCTTTTATAAGTAATTGCACTTACGGGAGGGAGAGGGAGGGAGAAGGGAGTGATCGGAGATAAGGACTTGTGAACTGCCTACACGTTTACTAGGCAGAAATTATTATCCAAACATTTGTGTAGCTAAAAACAAGTACCTTGGCTTTTGTAGAATAAATGGGACATAGAGGTTTTGACTAGGGCATTTCAATGTATGGAAGAAAGGTCAGTAAAAGCATATGGGACCTTAATTAAAATGGTGTTTTTAAAGGGAAAAGATAAAGGCCAGTAATAATGTTATCAGTGCTGTAAATCTCAAATAAAAACTATGACTCTTTGATCCTTTAATAAAGAAAGCCAACTTCTGGCATCAAACATCCTGAGGTTAAGGTTGTTTTCTTAGATTTCTTGGTATTGTCAGTTGACTAGGCACAATGGAAGCAGGCGAATAATGAGAATGATATAAGAAAAGTCTCTGTTTTTGTTCTTATTCCAAAGAGTCATCTTGCCAAGAGGAAGGGAAGCACAGGTAATCCTGCTTGGAGGAGGGAGATTTCTGTTTATTTGGAAAGACTATGTAACTTGCAAATGGTGCATTTAAAATACTGCCTCCCTAAGTGAAGGCTGTCTCACTTTATTATTTTAAAAATGAAGAATTTTTTTTTTAAGTGCCTAAGGGGACTGCAACAAAAAGAAAAGAATTTAGATCGTAGCTCTTAGCTCTAATGTGGATAAAAACTGATGACTTCACATGAGTATAAGGTAAAAAAGAAATGGCTGAGAGCTGAGAGGAATTTTGGCTTTTCTATTTCTTGAACTGCTGATTAGGGCGGTGGGAGTGTTGACAGGAATCCAGTCACTTTGCGTGGTGATTCTGTATCCCCAACTTGGAGACAGGACTCAATCTTATTTACTATTATTAGTCAATTTTATTGAGTGTTCAGATGTTCTAAACGCTGTTTTTTATCTCATCTCATTTAATGCTAACAATCCTATGAGGAAGGTACTTTATTACTCTCTTATAGATAAGGAAACTGAGCCCTGAAGAGACTTAAATGACATTCCCAAAGTCACAAAACTGACATAGATTTGAGCTTTGGCTAATCTACGCTTGAGGATGTTTACCAACATTAAAAAAAAAAGGTAAAAAGGGTCCTATCACTGAAGGGAAGAGAGGTTTATTTCTGTCACTTTGCTGGAGGAATTTTTCCTGAAAAATGTGTTTGGATTTTGGGGGCTAAATAAAATGCTTAAAAAAAAAAAAAAGGAAATGTGAAAAACGGTAAAGAACTTATAGAGAACCAGGGAGAGGTTGCGCTGTGGTGTTTTTGCTATGATTTGAGGACACCGTAATTTCCTTGCACTAAGGACATCATCACTTTCCATTGCTTTCAAGAGAGGTGAAATTGACATTAGAATTTACTGTTTGCCTTGACGTGCTTTAAATATCCTTTGGGCAGAGGCAATGCCTTCTCCGCGTTTGGTGCGAAGCAAGCTCATGCCTCATCTCATGAATTCCCATAAATAGTTATTAACCCCAAAGAAACAAAAACAAATCACTTGTATCTTTTCACAAAATGGATTTTTATTACAGTCATACATGGTTTCTCAGTGCCACAGAAAATTACAATGTAGGGACAGACAGTTTTTTGGATGGCTCTCTACAGAAACACGATGAGTTTTCAGAAACGAGTTGTGCAGGAATGTGGTTAAAGTGAAAGGGGTCAAAGAGGAGAGACAGAGCAGCATGTGCATCAAATGATTACTTTTCAAAACTCCTCTAAGCTCTGAGAACCCTTTTCTCCAGTAAGAGCCCACGAAAATTCATCAGAAACTGAAGTGATTGTGTTACTAAACACAAGGAATACATGTATTTATTCATTTGAAACCACGAGAAAAGTGGGTTGGGATGGGCTCAGACTTACTCTCATCTCATCACTGGGAATCTTGGCGTCTGTGCCAACAGTTCAGGAACCAGCAGGCGACCTGGAGATGGGTTATAAGAGCAGCCACAAAACCCAACGCTCTTCTCAGTTGCCTCTGGTCAGCGGGAAGGCCTGAGGCGCGGCCAGAGGAGACGCTGTGCCATTCTCCTCTCCACCATTTCACCTTCTGCTTGTTGACCTCGACGTGAGCTGAGAGCTGTCCCTGCTTCGGCTGTGCAGTCCAGAAGCCAGAACTTCCTCTAGGAAACTGACCGGTAGATTTGAGGTTACTCAAAGGAATAAAGAAAGCATCTTCAAAACCAGAATAGTTGGCTCATGACATCTGACTAGACGGGATGATATCGAGAATAGTGTGCAGGAAGTACTGGGTTGATAATTGGGCTCAGAACAGAAGCAGCAGCTGAGCACTGAAACACCCAGACCAGGAGGAGAGCCCTTTGTGCTCTTCCCCAAGGTTCTCCTTGTGTTTTGCAGCATTAAACTTGTAAGATCTGTTAAGACTGATATTTCAAGATTGACATTTCTAGTTAAGCATCCAGAACTTTTAAGGGCAAGGCTACTGTGTTAACTCGGAGCCATGTCACATGTCAGCTCCTCTTATCTAAATGTACTCTTGGCCTCAGAACTTGTGTTGTGCCTCTAGCCTCTCTCGTGTTTTTTTTTTCTTTCTTTTTTTTTCTTTTCAGCCTACGCCATCGCCGGTGACTCATGGCAGCCTAGCTCCAGGTTGAGCTGCTGTTCAGCATCTTAGCTGTAGAGGGCGGTGTCACTGGCCCTCATATGTGGGATCCAAACAGGGGGCCCTCTGGTGTCACAAGCCAGCTCTTAACCATCGCGCCACTCGGCCGGCCCTGTTTTTCTTTTTAATTGAAATTTTTATTGGGGAACAGTGTGTTTTCCAGGACCCATTAGCTCCAAGTCAAGTAGTTGTCTTCAATCTAGTTGTGGAGGGCACAGCCCATGTGGGAATCGAACCAGCAACCTTGGTGTTATGAGTCTGCGCTCTAACCACCTGAGCTAACTGGCCGCCCTGCTTTATCCAATCTACTCTCCAAAGTGGCACCAGAGTTAATTTTCTAAAACACAGATTATATCCTATTGCATACTCTCCCCTCTTCTGCTTTAAAACATTTCTTTTGCTTACAGAGTAATGTACAGATTAAAATTCAAGGCCCTTCATAATGTGTCCTAATAATAACAAATACTTTATTTTGTTCTAAGAACTGTTTTCAGCCACATGTGTATGTGTATATATTAATACGTGTGTGTGTGTGTGTGTGTGTGTGTGTGTGTGTGTGTGTATATATATATATGAAATAGATGCTATTTCCCTCACTTAAAAAATGAAGAAACCCAACTAGAGAGGTTAAGTAATTTGCCAAGGTCACAGCAGCTAGTAAGTGGCTTAGCTGGGACTGAAACCCAGGCTGTGGAGTCCGTGCCCTTCAGCACCACCCAGCACTGCCTCTTCCTCGTCTGGTTCCATCTCCCACTGTGCAGCCCATGCGCCATTCATGCCCAGCCTCTCACTGCTCCCTAAACATGTCATGAGCTTTCATACCCTTATGCGTTGCTCTGATTATGTCCTGTCGGAAATGATAGACTGCCCTTCTCTGTCAGATGAAATCCTTTTAAGGCTGAGGATTACAAGTCACCTTTTCTGTGAAGCCTTCCCAAACTCCTCCTTGCTGAGCTAATGATGCCCAGCACTATTATCACTTGGTCCTCGCGCCAGTTTGGCATTGTATTATTATCAATTAGGTACTCTACATGTTATCATCGCCAAAATAGACTGCGACCTCATTAGGGAGGGGCTAAGACTTATTTGGCTTGGATCTCCAGGGCTTACTTAGCACAGAGGCTAACACCTAGTAGGTACTCAATAAAGATATACTTAATAAATGAATTAAATGGCTACCCATTGGCAAGAGAGAACTCTCTATGACATAGGAGTTCTTTGGGCAGTTTTGTAAAGTATGCCAGAGTCACTCTCAAGAGATCTATAGCAGACAGAGGGTTGGAGGAATGACCAGGGGCCTTATTATTACCACTGTTCTGTAGTTTTAGACCTGGAAGATTCTAGGCTTTAAAAGATTTAAATTCCAAACTCCTTTGTAAAAGACATAAATGGTGAAGGGAAAGGAGTAGAAGCTAAATTCATTTATTCCTCTACTGAAATGCAGGCACCTGTCTGGCCTGGCTTTGGGGCCAGTTGGACCAGGGACACTCGGAGGTCAGAAAATGACTTTTCATAAGAATGAAACATATGTGCTGGGAAACACTGTAAGAATGTATCAGGGCCGGCCGAGTGGCAAGTTGCCTAAGAGGTGGCTTGGGTAAGAGCTGGCTTGAGACGCCAGCTTTGAGCAGCAGGGCCCCAGTTCGGATCCCACATGAGGGCCAGTGACGTAGCGCCCTCTACAGCTAAGATGGTGAACAGCTCAACCTGGAGCTGTGCTGCTGGGAGTCGCTGTGAGCGGCCGTCCAGTGGCTGACCACCGATCTGCCTCAGCTGGGAAGAGCGCAATGATAATACCAACATGGGCCAGTGAAGCGACGTCCTCCACAACTAGACTGAAGAACAAAAGGACAGCAACTTGTCTGTTCCCCTTCCCCGATTCCCCAATGCTGTTCCCCTCCTCCAATTCCCCAATACAATCTTAAAAAAAAAAAAAGAATTTATCAGATAATCTTTGCTTCACTTCAGACTCTGCTACATGCGCAAAGGCGTAACTTTCCTAAAATTACACTTAAATCAGCCTCTATGTATCAGCAAGACCCCACATTCTTGACTGCAGAGAAAACGCTATTTATATTTTCCAAGCCTAATTTTGTTTCCTAGGGCCAGTGTGCCTTTTAAAAAAGTATCTATTTGGGGACTTGATGAATCACTGCTGAATGCTTTAACAATTATGGGTGATGAACAAACTGCTATCTGTACCCCAAATTTAGACTATGTTTAAAAACAACAAAAAAGAATGATTTTTCTTTTCTAAATTTGTTTTAACTCAGTCTCACTTAAAACTCAAAAATCCCCTTCTCCTGTGGTACTATAATCCAATTCAGTTCAGCTCCGTTCAATTTAACAGGTGTTTTCTGAGCATCCATTATGAAGCAGGCACTGAGCTAGGTGTCTGAATGACACTTGTTATGATTCCCTCCTTTAAGGGGCTCTCAGAGACAGATGCACAATCACAACTCTGTGTGAGACACGTATAAACAGAGACCGTGCCAGGAGCTAACCTAGTAGATTGATGCAATTGCTTGTCTTGGTTTGTGCTGTCATCAAGTGTGCTTTCCCAACACGGGGGAGAGGAGGAAGGTGGGCAGAAAAAAGCCTTGATTTTTAAAAGTTTAAAAAAACCTCAAAAAGTCTTGCATCACACATTGAAAAACAAGTTTCTTCACTTTTATATCTTTGGTACGGGATTAGAGACTAACACAGGATTTTAAATTTTATTTACTAAAGTGAGTAAACAACTGTGTTCCTCAACAAAGCTATGTTATAATAAAACCAATCTTCCTCCCTCTCTCCCTCTCTCCCTTCCTTCCTTCCTTCCTATTTTCCTCTTTTTTCACTATCCTCCACAGATAGCAATTACATGTGAGTTTCTTATACCAAAGACACCAAAGGAATCTAGAATCATATCTGAAGAGTGCTACAATGCAAAAAATGAGTGGAATTTCAGGGAAGCAGGAAAATAGAAAAAAGATTTTCAGGAAAATAATGAGACAAAAACCCAAGATATTTGCCTGAATGGAGTCATACGCTAATTACAGCCAAACACCAAGCTGGAGACGCTGGAACATAGGCGTGAGGGAGAGAGGAAGACAGGATGAAACTTAATAGCTTGAGCACTGAACGATCTCTCTCCTCTCACTACTGTTTCCTACCTCTTTGCTTTCGCACGTACTGTTCCCTCTGCCTAGAAGGCTGCCCCACGCCTCTTCACACTTTATCTGGGTGGAATTCTGAATCTTTTAAAACCCAACTCTACATTATCCCTCTAGGAATTCATTTGCCTACATGTCCCTTTTGCACGTAAGCCTATTAAGTTTTTCAAGGGCACGAGCGTTATTACACAAATACATTATTTTTGTAAAACTTTAAAAATAGTACACAGAGAGCTCAAGTCTTCCTCAGTTCTTCTTCTCCCCATTACTCTTTTCATGGATAACGATTTAATCAACAAACATTTATTATGAGCCTACTATGTGACAGGTACTGTTCTAGATGCCAAGAATATAATAATGAGCAAAGTAAAAAAATTCTGCCCTCATGGAATTTATATTCCAGTGGGGGAGGATGGAAGATAAACAGAATTAATAAGTAAAATATAACACTAACAACACAACAATAATAATGTAAACACATATCACTATATTTGAGGTACTGTTCTAATGAGAGAGACATTGTCCCACTTCATGAAGAAACTGGGGCACAGAGAAGTCAAGGTCTCGCATCATGAAAGCGACCAAGTCGGGATACAGACCCAGACAATCTGGCGTCAGAGTTTGTTTCCCTTAACCACGATGCTAACTGCCTCTCTGCAGTGTGTTAGGTGAAGAAAATGCTATGGAGAACAGTAAAGCAGGTTTGAAGGCGAGCGGGAGGTGTTGGGGTGTGAGATTTTAAATCCAGTGGTGGAGGGAGGCCTCGCTGAGAAACTGACATCTGAGCCAAGTCCTGCACGAGGCAACGGGGCAACGGGACATCTCCCTGGGGGAAGGGCAGGTGCAGAGAACCGCGGCCTGCTATGTTCAGGGAGCAGAAAGGACGCCAGTGTGGCTGCAGTAAAGTGAATAAGGTGTTGGGTCGTAAGAGATGAGATCAGAGACGTTAAGGAAGGAGACGGAGGGGAGTGTGAAGAGAACAGTCTAGGACAGAACTCCAGGGATCCCAAAACTAGGAGGAATGTGCCAAAGAGACAGACAGGGAATGGCCGGTGAGGCCGGAGGACCAGAGAGTATAGTTTCTGGAAGCTAAGTGATAAAAGCGTTTCCAAGTGAAGTCACACGCTGCTGGCAGTTCAAGTAAAATGAGTGCTAAAAACTGACCCTGGGGTTAGCCATGTGGAGGTCCCTGGGGACTACGCGAGAGCAATTTTGGGGAGTGATGGGGGTGAAAGCCTGGATGGAGTGGCTTAAGAGTAGTGAGGTTTAAAAGGATTTGTGGGTTTAAGAGAATTTGTAAGGAGAGGAAATAAAGACAGGGAGTATAAACAATTCTCAAAGGATTTTGCTATA